GCTCCATGTATATAATCTTCAAATGAAAACTAGCAACAAGGTCTTAAATCTCCCTAGAATCTGACCCTCAGAGAAGTTATTTCTGAGCTGGCTTCCTTATAACTTTGCTGGCAGACAAGCTCCTCCTTAGTTGGAAGTGATTGCTATTTACTTCATTGCAGCTTCCCTCAGGAATTCTAACTTTAAAATGTTAATGCAACTCCCCAGCCAGCAGGGAAGGTTGCTAGGAATTTGGTCCCATTTAGAAACAGAGACAGGTAATTATACCAGGAATAGAGATACACTTTTACTTCAGTGATATTCACCAGATCCTCTGTTTCTTCTCCTATTTGAGAAAATGGTAAACACAGGGAAAGGCCCTGGGTACCAAAATATTACAGACACACAGGAAATAATTCCTCAAATCCAGGCTGTAAACCTGTCATTTTGTGGGCTTGCCTGTAAGCCAAGAAAAGTGAGGGAAAGAAGATCACGATGTAGAATGCATTCCTAAATTCTGGGAAAGCTGTACCAGGTGACCTCTTGGAGGCCTTCCCACTCCTGGGTACTGTAGCTTAAAACGCGAGCCATAATTTGAAATGTTAGAGACAGGTCAGGGAAATCGATTATTTATTTATTTGCATCAAAATGCGAATGTAATGCTTCAAAATAAAGCTTTAGAACTTAACAAAAAGTCCAAACATATGGTGAGAATTTAACATCTTTTTGTAGGAATATTTGGAACTTCTGTACTAAGTGATAATGGAGAAGTGAAATAGGGAAGCAGTTCAGTATTTGCATAAAACCTAAAATGACACCAGTAATATATTTTAAAGTCTAGTTCTGGACTTATTATTTGTCAAAGTTTTTGACTCACTCAAATTGAATGGCTGAGTTAATTCAGATCATATATACCTGTAAAAATATAAATACTTAAAATTTCAAATCTCTCCAGTGGGGCTTAGTATCTTACTTAATTGTGTGGCAACACATTTTTATGTGGGTCATGTCCAAACCTGCATTACTCCATATTTTGATTAAAAATATATAGTTTGCTGACTGATTCAATTTAAAAACAGTCACTCTCAGCTATTCTATCCAACTAAGCACCACTAGTTTCTCAGATCCCTCTCTTTTCTCCATCTTCACTGTCTTAGTTCATTCGGACACTTGTTATCACTCCACCAGACCACTGCAACTGGTCTTTGACTCCGGACTTATAACCTAAATACTTCCCATGGCTCCAGATTTGACCTTACTAAGGTGAAAATCTGCGTCCTTTGTGTCTAACACAATGCCTGGCACCCAATAGGTATTCTGTAAGCCTTGCAGATGCAGATTCTAGCCTGAGCTCTGAAGCTAACTCACTGTGTATCCTTGGGTATGCTGCTTCACCTCACTGGGCCTGTTTTCCATTCTCCAATTTGGAAATGATAAAACCTACCTCACCGGGATTTTGGAAAACAATACTACGTGACTGAACTTTGTGAACTCAAAAGCACTACACAGTTTTAAGTGTTATAAGATTAGAAAGTTGTAAGTTTGCAAGCAAGTTTAAATAAGTTTGCAAATTGTTCTTTGATTCACATTAGAATGTTCTCCATAAAAATCTATAAAGCTACTTATATTTTTAAATATAATATTTTTAAATATGGCCCACAAATGCTTAATTTTTTTCTTAAATTACCCTGTACACAAAAGTTGTTCAGGACTTATATGGTCCTATTGTTGTTATTGTTGTTAGTTGCCACTGAGTTCATTTTCACTCAGGGTGACCCCATGTGTACAGAGTAGAACAGCTTCACAGGGTTTTCAAGGCTGACCCTTCAGAAGCAGGTCACCAGGCCTATCTTCCAAGCCACCTCTGAATGGCTTTGAACCACCCACCTTTCGGTTAATAGTCGAGTGCTTAACTGTTTGTGCCACCCAGGGACTCCAATATGGCTCTAACTTCCTTATTTTAAAGATGAGGAAACTGAGTCAGAAATATCTTGATTCTCTAAAAAGGAAGCTATTTGGATAAGAGATGTTTTTAAATCTGCACTGATTTTATTTTTTTAAAGATTCTTTTCCACTGCGTTTTCATTAGCTGAAACAAACAGGTCCTTTCCCTCAGGATCCACTTGGACATGTGTTGCACAAACATTTCCAGGACATCTCTGAAGGGGGAAAGAATCCAATCTCTAAGGTGACTAATGTAGAGAATGACATGAAAGTACCTTTTTCCAAGTAGGAATAAATTTTTTTTTTTTAACATATATCTTAAACACTTGGTTTTATTAAGTGTCCTTTTCAAAGCATTTATAATAAACGGTGAAGTGCTCGACTGCTAACCAAAAGCTGGCTGGCGGTTCGAACCCACCCAGAGGGAAGACAGGCCTAGTGATCTGCTTCTGGTCACGGCCTTGAAAATCCTAGGGAACCGTTCTACTCTGCACACATGGGGTGGCCATGAGTCTGAACAGACTAGACAACAACAGTGTAACTATGTACCGTACTTTAATCAATTTCTAGATGTTGAACAATTCGTTTTTTAGGTATATTAAAATTGCACACTCCTTATTTATAAATCCTGGGGTTCATCAATGGTTAAGTTCTTGGTATAAATTTGTAGAAGTGCAATTGTTAAGTCAAATGGAGTACACCTTTTGACACATATTGCCACATTTCCTCTGGAAGGTTAACTCTTACTAAAATTATCTGTATGTGTTGGTGTCTTTGTATGCTCGTGTTAGATTGTTGTTAGGTGCTGTTCAGGTCAGTTCTGACTCATAGCGACCCTACGTGCAACACGACAAAACGCTGCCCGGCCCTGTGGCATCCACACAATCATTATTGTGTTTGATCCCATTGTTGCAGCCACTGGGTCAATCTATCTTGTTGAGGGTCTTCCTCTCTTTCACTGACCCTCTACTTTACCAAGCATGATGTCCTTCTCCAGGGTATCCTGATAATATGCCCAAAGTACGTAAGACGAAGTCTTGCCAACCAGGAATATTTCTGTGGAAGGTTGAGTCATCCATAAGCAAGTTCATTTCCTCTTCCATTTTAGGACCATATTTTGAAAATAAACCCAATGAGACACAAATGGCCAATCGCAGTCAGACTGTTTCAAAATATTTAGCCTTCTTCCTAAATCTTCTCATTAGATAAAATAAAAAGCAACCACCGCCAGTGCTTAGCTTATGTACACATCTCCCAGAAGTTTTAACAGTCTTCACAGGTGCAGCCACTACTTGTCTTCCCTCCCACAAAAAAATGTCATTTCCTTCTTCCCCTCCACTACGTTCCAGAATGGAGACTCAGCACCGCAAGCGACTGATGTGGTGGGATTTTCTTTTCCTGCCATAAACCAAGTGGTCTAAATTGAGAGTTGAACCAATGGGTGGTAAAGTTTTAAAAAATCTTCAGACAGTGGCATGCTGGGCTGTTTTTGGTGCAAGGACCGCTTTCATGCTAATTTTAAAACCCTGAAATATTTCAGAAACCTCTGAGATACTCTGCTCCACCAATACATATGTACATTCAGACTATAGAATTTCTCCAGCACTTGGTAATCACCTTGTAATTATAACCCCACTCATTTGTTTAGTTTGGTGTCACACTGGTGTTAATGCCACTCCCTAGTATATGATACCATAGCCCTCCAAAGACTTCAGACGCAAAGACTTCAATCTTAAACAAAAAAAAGCTTCTTGCTTTCTCAATTACTTCAATTTTAGGATTCATATATTTGTAAACCTAGGCTAGAACATAGTGTTAGGGAATGAGAACCTCTAGAATTGGATTCTGTAAGGTTGAGACATACTTGAAGTCATCATACTGAAGGGGTTCCCTGTCCTGGCTACACATTAAAATCACCTATGGAGCTCTAGAAAGGCAATTCGGTCAGAATCTCTAGGGTAGGGTCTAGCCACTGACACTCTTATAAAAGGTCTTCAGGTAATTTTAATGAATCACCAGGTTTGAGAACCAGTAAAAACAGCAATAAACAAGGTAGAACTTAAAAAACTTCCCCTGGCTTCCCCTAGTCTGGTTCTCACAACCAAATACTTATTTTAAAACATGTTTACCATCAGCAAAATACTTAATTCTGGAGGTTTACAAAGCTTGTCCTTAGTGGATAATGTTACAGTTGATTTTGAATGTTCCCTCCTCATTCCACAAAATACCACCACTGGAAAATTCACTTCTAATGAAATATGCAAATTTTAATCTTACTTGACTCATGTTCCTGACTAAACGAACTTTATATAAATTTTGGCTTCCAGTATGGGGAAAACAGTAAGTTTAACTTACAGACTAATGTCTCTAATTTTTCTTGTACATTAAATGTGAGGTATCCTATAATTAACTCATCTCTTAAAGGTCAAAGAATCACGGAAAGATTGATGGAGTCCGTAACTACTTCTCTCATTCAAAATGTCACTAATGTTTTGCATTTTGGAGTGTAGAACTCAAATCAAAGGTTACATCTTCCTGACTTCCCTTGTTCATTTTGTTGAGTATTACTATACATAAAACATTAAAATAGAAGCTGGGGAGAGAAAAGATGTAGGAGTAAGGGAAAAGATGCAGAAGTAAGGTTGCCAGATAAAATATGGGACGCTCAGTTAAACTTGAATTTCAGATAAATGATAAATTTTTAGTATATGTCCCAAATATTGTATATACTAGAAAATTACCTGAAATTCAAATTTAACTGAGCATCCTGTAGTCTTATTTGCTAAATCTGGCAACGCACTGTGGAAGGTAAGATCCTTATCATCAGCCAACTTACCACTTAAAGAAATTAATGAATAATCGTAATGTAAAGGGTATGTGATTAAGTGTGGTAATATAGTCAGCGGAGGAAAGGATCTCCACTAACTACCTCGGAAGACTACCTGGGAGAGATGGCAATTGATGCAGTTAAGATGGGTAAATTTTGATTGACAGATGGGTGGTTTAGTGTGACGATTTTAGAGTTCAGTGTCCTAGGTTAAATCTCAAATTCACCATTCACCAGCTGTGTAACACTGGACAAGTTACTTAATCTCTCTTTATTGTAAAATGAGGGTAATAATACTTACTTTACTAGGTTAAGGAACAGAGATAACATACACACAAACACCTGGACCATAGGAGGCACTCCCTAAACGGTAATACTTTTACAACCTAAAACGTCACCTGGCAAAGACGCTACTTATCACAAATATTTAAATGTTAATGTTATACAGTAATAGTAATATTGAATAAGTACTTTTATTTCCATGATCTATTTACACTGTACACTGCTGAAAAGCACCCTACAAGTTCACAGTACATTACAACACATTTACTTTAAAAATATATTCCTTTATAAAAGGTTCATAAAACATTGGCATGTCAACACATGACAAAACTCTCAAAGCATGTCACCCATTTTGTGATAGCAAGAATGCATCCAAGTGTTGTCAATTCCACAATCACAAGTCACCATTTGAGTTTGAAATACATACAGGTTTTAAATAAAAAATGTGTTCTTCAGTGGAAAGTTCCTATGACAATACTTATTAGTTAATTAACATATGCACTTTCATGGAGATGTTGTGTCATAATAATTTACAGTATTAACTTAATCTGCCCAAAGAAACATTTCAACAAGTTTCACAGTCCAGAAATTTTTGTCTTTTTTTTTTTCTACTTTTTCTTCTTTGCTGGTTCTCCTGATTCCATCTTGCGCTTTTTAGGTGTATGCTCTTCTTTTTCATCATCTTTAAATAGGAAAGAAGAGTTTCAATCAGTAATTAAAAAAAAAAAAAGTTAATTATTAAAATGTCCTTGACTTTATATGAAATCGTCACCCTTATCAAGTGTTTCTGTCAACATTTCCAAATAAACAAAAATTAACTTTTAGAACTCTGATTTAGAGTGCAAATGAAAATAAGTAATTTTTTAAATTGTAGAGTTATTTAAAAAAAGACTCACAAAGTGACCCTTTAATGCTATATTTAAGGTAGCTTAAAACGAGAAACTCAGAAGACTTGTTCTAAAAAAGCTGTTCCCCAATATCCTACAGTACACACATTGTATACAATTATATACAATTTATACTTTGTAACAATGGTGCAAACTGTTTGTACAAAAAATAGATAACAAGTTACCATTATTTAAATGGCTATCAGCTGTCTTCTTCCTGGCACTCTGCTTCCTCTCCTTCAAAAACAACTTCCTTCTCAACCTTATACTCCCCAAAATCTTTGTATTTTGAGATTAAGAAGATCATTCATGGATAGAGATTTTACTGAATTCCTATTTTCAATTTGTCCTAAGTAGTTAGTTTTAACTTTTTGTCTCCATTTCTAGAAAGGTTAGAATATTCTAATGGCAAAAGAAAATACACATCTTCCCTCTTCATACTATGGAAAATTTGAGGGAGCAGGTAAAACAATGTTCATGATTTCCACACTTTTCCAAATTGTTATTAGTGTCTGCACTCAAAAGAAAATTTCCAATTAATAAAAATGCTGTCAAACCCAAAAAAGTGATTCCTTTTATTTGATTGAGAAAATCCAACTAGTATACATGATTCAATAAAAACACAGGGCAGCACAGACTAGTTGCAACTCCCCAACTGCTTGGCATTATTTTAAGAACTGCACATAGATTACAATAAACAACACATAGATGTTGTGATTTATAAAATACAAATTAATTTTAAGCACATTACTGAATTCATTGTAATTTTTGACTATTTTCTTGATCAACAGATACTCAAAAGTTCAACTACTATCATGTGGTGCTCTACAAAATAATTCTGATGTTGAAAGGGGCATTCCTATTAAAAAATTTGGGGAGCCACTGATATCTGATCATAAACTCTTTGAAGGAAATATATTTAAAATCTCTTCTCAAGTCTTTGATTGCCTTCTACTGACTGCACCATGCTCAGAGTATCTCAATTGTTGATGTGGACAATAATTTCTATCAACAGCAGGTAAAGGTCCATTCATCTTCAAACACAGCATGGCAATGTCACTCATATATTTCATAGTGCACTATGGGTTTATTTAGGCAGCGAGATAAAATGTAATTCAGATCAACAACTCAGCCCAGGAATTTACAAACCAAAGTTTTAAACAGTAATCTATCACGTATATACAAAAACACTATCTCTACAAACCAACTAATATGACATACAGCTCCAATAAGCCAAGGCCCTTGTTTTTTTAAATTGGAGTTTAATTATCATCACGTTTATCTTTTGTCATTATCATTTTCAGAAGTGGTAATAAAAAAAATTGAAAGAACTTGCTAACTCTTACACTATAAAATCCAGTGTTAACATACATTAAAAAGATGACCCTGAGACACTTTTACTTATCATTTGCCACTTAGTACAAGTAAATTTAATGAACAACAAAAAAATCACAAACTACTGAGACTGGATAAATAACTCCCTATCAGTGCTTTGGAGCCCTGGTGGCGCAATGGTTAAGAGCTCAGCTGCTAACCAAAGGGTCAGCAGTATGAATCCACCAGCCGCTCCTTGGAAACCCTATGGAGCAGTTCTACTCTGTCCTACAGAGTCACTGTAAGAATCAACTCGACCGCAAGGGGTTTGGCTTGGTTATCAGTGATTTGAATAAAAGGGCTAGTGCCACCTAGTGACAAGACAAGGCATTGCTTTAAAAAAGTGCAGGAAAAAAAACTTGAAAATGTTTATTTGCTGAGCTTCTACTCTGTGCCAGATATTACAGCAGATACTATGAGTGCACTGGTGAGGAAGCAATCTTTCCGTTATGGAATTCATGTCACTTGAGATAAAGACGTTTAACTTACTGATATAAAATAACTTCCTAAATTCTAAAAAAAAATTACCTACATTAGGCAGGCTTTTATGGTTAGTTACACTTAATAAAGCTTCAATTAATATCTAAACTATACTGATCTACATTTTACAACCACTAAAACAAGAAGTGCTGAGCAAATGATGAGTCTGAGGATTCATTCTTTAAAATATTTGGAAGGTACGTGGCAAAAAAGGTGAAAGGACAGAAAATAGAAAGGAAAAATAAAAACAGGGTAATTTGGTAATTCAAGAAATTTAAGAAGTTAAAAGCGTGGAGTTTCTAATACATGCTATTTTGTGAATAAAAAAAAGAGGTAAAAAATTAGGTTAGGGAAATCAACTTTACAGAGACTTTGTGAACATGGTATAGGAGTCAGAAATAGTAAAGATTACTTCTAAAAAGGAAGGTATGTATTACAAAAAGAAGATACACAGTTATATTCAATAACTAACATTAAAGTCAGAAGAGAAGATTTCAGGATTATTTTTTAATCTCGTGGTACAGCTTTGAACTGGCTAAGCCCTGGGTCCTTTTGTCTTTTGATATTGCCTACATTCACTTTCTGATAGAGAAGCACAATGTAATCAAAAGGAGAGAAATACCCCATGGAAACAGCAGTGATATTTGCCACATATTCGGAACTCCTTCTACGTGAACTCAAAAATCAAACTGGAAAAAGATAATTCTACTTTTCTTTCTTGCTTGCCCCGGCGTGTGTAATCCTGGCATTTTCCACACAAAGATACCAGAGCACCAGCCTATTGCACCCCAATTTAAATATCAACTCTAGTGTCCTTACTACCATTCTTCCTAAAGAAGGATAGCTATTTCTCAAACACTCTAGCTTGGAAAGCATCAAGAGATCAAATCCCAGAGTAAATACGGCATACTTCCATTTAAAGACCCAAATCTGAATCCCTTTTCTGCTTCCTTCTAGCTGTATGAATTAGTCTGGGCAAATTCTTTAATCCAAGATTATTTTCTCGCCTATAAAACAGCAATAATGAATCATGTCCCATCTCTACCAGGATGCTAAGACTAATAAATTAGAAAATTTGTGTGAAAGTAGCTATTTTAGAGTTTGGAATTTTCTCATTTTGTGACCTTGGACAAGTCACATATGCTCTCATTTCCACATTTCCCCATCTGGTTTCACAAGCAGTTGTAAGGATTAAAGATTATCTATATGAAAGTATTTTATTAATTATATAAAATACCACACAACTACACAAGGTATTATAAATGCCTATTTTAGCTAAGGTCTTCAAAATTGTGCCATTTACTGAAGCTGTGTGGTTGTCAGTGACTTCTAATCCATATTGGGGAATCAGTGAAAGAAATGGAAAGTTAGGTAAATCAAAACTAGAATAAGAATTCCTGACAGTTACCCTTATTTTTGTTTTCCTCAAACTCTCTGCACAGCCGTAAAAGGAGCTAAGTAAATACTCCTTGTATCGTGGGAAGATAAGAAATCTGTTTAGTAAAAATGACAAGTCTTTCTTAACAATGATACTCCATATACTTAGTTCAATTCAACAAATATCCACTGAATGCGTACAATATACTAGAAACTCTGATATAAACATAAACATCATCTGGACTCTGCTGTTTGAGGAACTCATTTTCATAAAGGAGACAGACTTAGGAACAAATAATCACATTAAGGGTGATAAGTGCAATCAATAGCATTAGCGCATACCAGATACAGAGGAACAAATAATTAGAGGGAGGTAGTATCTGAGATTTTTTTTTTCCTTTGAGTTGGATTTTGAAGGATGAATGAGTGTACCAGCCAAAGAGGGAGGGAAGAACATCCAGACTAAGGTGTAACATCTACTGAAAGGTAGGAAACCATAAAACAGCATGGCCTACTGAGTACTGAATTTCAAGATCTTAAAGTGCTAAAAAGGGGGCTGTGGGAAATGAGAGTGGAGAGAGAGGCAGTGACTATCATAGAAGGCCTTGATTCTATCCTGTTGGTGAAGGGTTTTAAGAGTGAGTTATGTAATCAGATATGACTTTCAGAAAGTGAACATCAGATTCAGTGTTAGGCATGGAATTGAGGGGGTAAGACTGTGGAGGAAGAGATTACTGTGATAGTCCAAGTAAGAGATGAGAGTATATTATGCAATAAAGCAAGCCAATTAAGTCATTCTCCTCCTAATACTATGTAATACTGCTCAATTAAATTCATTTTATCATGTTAGTTTTAGCTGTAAAGCACAACTGCTTTAATATAAAATGAAGCCTTTAGTACTTCACAGCTTCAATCACAAGAAAGAATCCATGAATTAATTCATGCTGTTCTAATAAGGCACCATGAGATAACCGAGATTTCACTCTAAAGCCTGACTAATCTATGACCTTTCCCTAAAACACAGCAAATACTACTAGCTGATATACATATAATCTTTCTAAAAATACAGCAAAAAGTATCCAAAGACCATCATAATCAGTTTGTTAATTCACTAGATTTAAATCGTTCACTAAATATCTCATTATTTTTAAACCCATCAGAGGGACCAAGAAGATATTACCACTAGAGTCTGGTCTTCTTACCTGATTCCACTGTCTCCTCCCCCTCTGGTAGAAGCCGGGCTTTCTTAGCATTCTGGGGGGCATCATCACCATTGTCCTCATATATGTTAGACCATTTTATTGCCATATCCAGCTCTGGAGGTGGTGGCTTCTTTTCAGTAGTGTAGGTCTCCGGAGGTGGTACGTAGTTTGACTTCCATACTTTGAATTCTTTTGGAGGCTGTTAAGCAAGCACATTAAGAAGCACTGTGACGAACCGAGGTTCCTATGATCGATCAATAGGAGCACATGCACCTCCCTGCCGTTCGCTTATCGTTCAGACTTTTTTTTTTTTTTTTGAGGTTAAAGACACATTTTCCATCAAATCACAACACTGTCAAGTGAAAAGCCAAAGGGTTCCCTAAATGAATAAAGCTAATAACTTTTAGTTACCAAAGAAGAATCCAGTCTCAGAGATACTACGCCAAGGCTGACCCCTTCAGGAGGCTGCAGCAGACACTGTCTTGGAGGCAGCACCGCAGGCACTTCGGCGTCAAAGGGAAGGGGTCTCGGGGAGAAGCTGCAGCGGGGGGGGGCGGGGGAGTCACCACCGTTAGTCCTCGCCGCGCGGGGTCGGGGGCACCGAGGGCGGAGGTTTGGGCCTCCTCCAAGGGGGCGGGGGCTGCGGGTCCGGTCTGCAACCCACCAGGCTGGGGGAGGGGACCCGGGCTCCCCAGGGATGGAGGTGAGAGGGGCTTGTGCGGCATCCCGCAGGGGGTGGGTGCGTGTGGGGGAACGGACAGCCCGTCCCCAGGAGGGGGCTCAGCAGGAAGGGGGCGGAGGCCGGGGCCAAGACCAGGAAACGGGGTCAGGGACCTCACCTCCTCAGGCGCCTTGACAACGTGCCTCTCCCAGTCTATCTGCTTGTTGAGAGGATTGTAGAGAAAGGCCGGGCGAGTCACGCTCCGGAACAGCTCGTCGGGTCCCGGCAGCCGCTTCTCCGCCTTGTTTCCACAGCCGCCCGCAGGGTTTGCCGGATCCGGGGCCCTGCGACTCGTCTCCTCCGGCTCGCTGTCGTCCTCCTCGGCCGAGGAGCCTGAGCTGCTGCTCCCGTAAGCCGCGAAATAGCTCAACGGGTCCTTCTCGTCGGCTGCCATGACGGCTGCGCGCGGTGACCGAGAGCTCCGCCGGAAGCCGGAAGCTGTTCTAGGGCCCGCCCCGCCGCTGGCCCCGCCCCAAGTCTTGCAGACTGGCCTGTAGGCTCTGGCCCCTGGTGGCTCTGCTGCGCTCTTGCGCTCGGGTTGAGGGGATGAGGCTGGAAGCCGGGCGCATTCCCAACCAGGAGCATTCCTGAGGAGCCCTGAGAAGAAGAGTGTCAGGACCTTCAGAATTCAGTAAGGATTTATTAAAGGCATAAGAAGAGCTAAGAATTTTGTCTTTACTGCCCCTTCACTTTTAGCCTCTGCCCCAAGAGGCCAGGATTTCTTCCTGACCCTGTTGCACCCCTGCTTCCAAATAAAAATTACCCTCAGTTGTCATGGAAGACCACCATGAGTGGTGGACTCCCCAAGTCACAAACCAAATCCTCCCCTGCTTTACCTCATTCAAACGTGTTTTGAAGAGCCTCTCTGATAAACTCCTGTTGGATTGCATCTGTCTTACCCGCGGGCATCCTCCAACCTCTCTGGCTGCCCCTTGTTGGCCTCCTTCCCTGCCTACTTTTCTGTGTATGGCCCTTAAATTTTGATGTTTCCCAACATGTTACATCATCTTTCAGCAATACTTAAATTTTGTAAGGGTGTTACAAAGTTGTTGTTGCCCTCCAGTCCATTCCGACTCATAGTGACCCCATGTGACAGAGAAGAGCTGCCCTGGAGGATTTTCTAGGCTGTAATATTTACAGAAGATTACCAGGTCTTTCTCCCGCGGAGCTGCTGGGTGAGTTCAGATCGCCAACCGTTAGGTTAGCAGCCCAGCGCTTAATATGTTAGACCACCCAGGACTCCAGTAACTACCTTTTGCTTGTGACTCCCATGTCTGGCTCTCAAACTCCAACCTTTCCCACTGTATCAGTCAGAGTTAGAGAGAGACAGAGACAGAGAGATAGAGATTGATTTATTTTAAGGAATTGGCTCAAGTAATTGTGGAAACTGGCAAGCTTGAAATCTGTAGGGCAGGAGGCAGGCTGGAAACTCAGGCAGGATTTCTATGTTAGTGTTGAGGCAGAATTCCTTCTTTTTCTGGAAACTTCATTTTTGCTGTTAAGACCTTAAGACCAACTGATTGGATGAGGCCCACCCCCATTATTGAGAGTAACTTTACTTAAAGTTAACTGATTGATTGTAAATGTTAATTGCATCTACAAAATACCTTCACAGCAACCGTTTCAGGAGGTAGCAAATGATAACTAATGGTGTTGAAGGAAAAAGTCTAAGCTGCACTGAAGGCATTGGTGAAAAATAAGGCTCCAGGAATTGACAGAATATCAACTGAGATGTTTCAACAAACAGATGCAGTGCTGGAGGTGCTCACTCGTCTATGCCAAGAAATTTGGAAGACAGCTACCTGGCCACCCAACTGGAAGAGACCCATATTTATTGCTATTCCAAAGAAAGGTGATCCAACCGAATACTGAAATTATCAAACAATATCATTAATATCACACGCAAGTAAAATTTTGCTGAAGATCATTCAAAAGCAGTTGTAGCAGTACATCGACAGGGAGCTGCCAGAAATTCAAGCCTAATTCAGAAGAGGATATGGAACCAGGGATATCATTGCTGATGTCAGATGGATCCTGGCTGAAAGCGGAGAATACCAGAAAGATGTTTACCTGTGTTTTGTTGACTATGCAAAGGCATTCAACTGTGTGGATCATAACAAATTATGGATAACATTGCAAAGAATGGGAATTCCAGAACACTTAATTGTGCTCATGAGGAACCTGTACATAGACCAAGAGGCAGTCGTTTGAACAGAACAAGGGGACAGTGTGTTGTTTAAAGCCAGGAAAGGTGTGCATCAGGGTTGTAACCTTTCACTATACTTATTCAATTTGTATGCTGAACAAGTAATCTGAGAAACTGGACTATATGGAGAACAGGATTGGAGGAAGACTAACAACCGATATGCAGATGATACAACCTTGCTTGCTGAAAGTGAAGAGGACTTGAAGCACTTACTGATGAAGATCAAAGACTATAGCCTTCAGTATGGTTTACATCTCAACATAAAGAAAACAAAAATCCTCACAACTGGACCAATAAGCAATATCATGATAAACGAAGAAAAGATTGAAGTTGTCATGGATTTCATTTTACTTAGATCCACAATCAACATCCATAGAAGCAGCAGTGGAGAAATCAAGACGTACTGCTTTGGGCAAATCTGCTGCAAAAGACCTCTTTGGAATGTAAAAAAGCAGAGATGTCACTTTAAGGACTAAGGTGTGACTCACTCAAGTCAATGTATTTTCAATTGCCTCATGCATGTGAAAGCTAGACGATGAATAAGGAAGACTGAAGAAATGACGCCTTTGAGTTATGGTGTTGGTGAATATTTAATATACCCATGGACTGCCGAATAACAAACAAATCTGTCTTGGAAGAAGTACAGCCAGAATGCTCCTTAGAAACGTGGATGGTGAGACTTTGTCTCACATACTTTGGACGTTATCAGGAGGGATCAGTCCCTGGAGAAGGACATCATGCTTGGTAGTGGGTCAGCGAAAAAGAGGAAGACCCTTAACAAGGTGGACTGACACATTGACTACGACAAAGGGCTCAAGCATAACAACAATGATGATGGTGCAGGACTGGGTAGTGTTTCATTCTGTTGTACATAGGGTTGCTATGAGTCAGAATCGACTCGACAGCACAACAACATGGTAAACTCAGGGTGAGGATTTTAGGGGCAGCACAAGTGATCCTTGTATTGTCTATGCTTAAATGTAGCTCTTCTTTCGGGAAGTCCTCATAATATATTTGACAACGGTAGATCTAAATTGCTTCTTGGTTTGCTTTTTTTCAAAGCCAACAGTGTGTATGTTTATCCAGTGATACAATACAGGGTCAGAGCCTTAAACTTCCTGCTCTCTTTTGCACTGCTTAGGTAAAAAGACGGTAACTCCAAGACTTGATCTCTACCTCACACTAGACACAAAAATTACACTGAAATGGATCATAGAGCTAAATGTGAAACTAAACTAAGTTTTCAGAAGAAAACATAGGTGAATATCATCATGACATTGGGATAGGCAAAAATCTTTAATACAGGAGACAAGAATCACTAACCATAAAAGATTCATAAATTGGACTTAATTAAAATGAAGAACTAATCTTTATCAAAAAGACAAAACATCCAAAATCTAAAACAAAAAGATTAAAAAAAAAAAAAGTCACGGTCATTAACCTGGATCTGTCCCTAATTTGCCAGTGTTTGATCTTGCACTAAGGGTGACAGGCTGACCAAAGATGAATCGCCTCTTGAAAAATGAGCTCCAAGGGGTTGTTTTTGCATTAAGTGATAATATAGTATCTGTGAAAAGTAACTTTTTCACTGCTGCATTAATCAACCTAGTAACCAAATGCACCTTGTCAGTCATAGTTGTCATACTAATTTTTGTGTGTGTTTGGTTTTTGATTTATTTATTTTTAATTGTACTTGAAGTGAAAAGTTTATAATTCAAGTTAGTCTCTCATACAAAAATTTATACATATACACTTGTGTGACCCCAGTTGCTCTCCCTATACTGTGACAGCACACTCCTCCTTTCCACCCCTGATTTCCTGTGACCATTCAACCAGCTCCTAACCCTCTCTGCCTTCTCATCTCTCACCTCTGGACAGAAACTGCCCATTTAGTCTCGTGTATCTACTTGAGCTAAGAAGCACATTCTTCATGAGTATCATTTTATGTCCCACAGTCCAGTCCAATCTTTGAAGAGTTGGCCTCGGGAATTATTTTAATTCTCGGTTGACAGAGAGGCCGGTGGCCATGCTTTCTGGGGTTCCTCCAGTCTCAGATCATCAAGTCTAGTCTTGTTACTACAATTTGAGTTCTGCACCCCACTTTTCTCCTGCTCCATCAGAGACTCTCTGTTGTCTTCCCTGTCAGGGCGGTCACTGGTGGTAGCCAGGCACCATCTGGTTCTTCTGGTCTCAGGCTGATGAAGTCTCTGGTTTATGTGGCCCTTTCTGTCTCTTGGGCTAATACTTTCCTTGTGTCTTGGTGTTCTTCATTCTCCTTTACTCTAGGTGTTTGGTACCAATTGATGCATCTTAGATGGCCGCTTGCTAGCTTTTAAGACCCCCGACACCACTCACCAAAGTAGGATGCAGAACATTTGCTTAATAAACTTTGTTTTGCCAACTGACCTAGATGTCCCCTGAAAGCATAGTCCCCAGACCCCTGCCCCTGCTACTCTGTCCCTCAAACTGTTTGATTGTATTCGGGAAACTTCTTAGCTTTGGTTTAGTCCAGCTGTGCTGACTTCCCCTGGATTGTGTGCTGTCCTTCCTTCACCTAAGATAATTCTTGTCTACTATCTACTTAGTGAATAACCCTCACCCTCCCTCCCCACCCTTGTAACCATCAAAGAACGTTTTCTTCTGTGTTAAACCTTTTCTTGAGTTCTTATAATAGGGGTCTTATACAATATTTGTCCTTCTGTGGCTGACTAAATTCACTCAGCGTAATGCCTTCCAGATTCCTCCATGTTATGTTTCACTGCTTCATTGTTCTTTATCACTACACAGTATTCCATTGTGTGAATATACCATAATTTGTTTATCCATTCATCCATTGATGGGCACCTAGGTTGTTTCCATCTTTTTGCTATTGTGAACAGTGCTACAGTGAACATGGGTGTGCATATATTTATTTGTGTGACGACTCTTATTTCTCTAGGATATATTCCAAGGAGCGGGATAGCTGGATCGTATGGTACTTCTTTTCTAGCTTTTTAAGGAAGCGCCAAATGGATTACCAAAGTGGTTGTACTATTTTACATTCCCACCAACAGCGTATAAGTGTACCAGTCTCTCCACAACCTCTCCAGCATTTATTATTTTGTGTTTTTTGGAT